TTTCATTTTAGTTTTCAAATACATATTCCAACACATTCATTTTGAAGGATGGAATTGAATAAATGTCCATGTCATTTTCATGACATAAAATACTCTTTCATTTTAACGTTACTAAAATAAACCATTGATATTTAATATGCATGTAAAAACTGATGGATTCTTTCATGTTTATTTTAAAGTCCGTTAACTAATTTAAAGAATAATGTAAAGTCTATAAAATAATTGTGATAAAACAAAATTTTTCTAAAGGAGAATAAATTCATACCAAAGCAGAATAAGTTCATACTAAAGCCATTTAAATCAGTCCTCTCACAGGAACCACAGAACTAATATTCATATATTAAACAAACTTAAACTTTAATGAATAGACTAGTTTAAGGAAGGTCACTCTAATAATTAAAATTAGCACATTGGGATAATTTTTTTTCAGTGGTAATTGACTTTTGGAATACCTTTGAAAGCAGGGTAGAATAGATGGTGGAATCCAGAGGGGACCACTGTTGAAAATCCTCAATCCAAAAAAGAAACTTGAATGTATTTGTTTTTTTTGGTTTTTTTTTTTGTATTTCTCTTTTTATTATTATTATTATTTTTTTCTTTTTAGTTACATTTTGTTAACTCTGTGTCCCAGCTGTATCCCGCTCCCTCATTCCCTCCCCAACCCCACACTCCCTCCCTGGTCTCCTCCCTGCCCCTTTCCAAGTCCACTGATAGGGGAGGACCTCCTCCCCTTTCATCTGACCCTGTTTTATCAGGTATCTTCAGGGCTGGCTGCAAAGTCCTCCTCTGTGGCCTAACAGACTGCTCCTCCCTGGGGGGGGGGTGTCAAACAGCCTGCCCTTGAGATCCTGTTAGAAATAGTCCGTGTTCCCCTTACTTTGGAAAACTACTTGGTTACTGAGCTACCATGGGCCACATCCGAGCAGAAGTTCTAGGTTATATCCATAGATGGTCCTTGGTAGAGTGTCAGTCTCAGAAAAGACCCTGTGCCCATATATGTTTGGTCCTTGTAGAGCTCCTATCCTTTCCATATCATACTAACTTCCCTTCTTTCATATGATTTCCTGCACTCTGCCGAGGGTTTGGTTATGAGTCTTAGTGTCTGCTTTGAAACACTGCTAGAAACTTGAATGTATTTGATGGTCAGATGAGGTAATTTATTTTACTGCTTTAAGGAACAGAGGTATAGAAATGATGGAAGAGGAGAAAAGGAATGTCCATGAAATATGAGGCTTGGTGATCTAATAGGAAACGGGCAGGAAGAGTTTTGCTTTGGTGGGTGGTAAAACATAATTTTTAAAATGAAGATAATCAATGTTCAGTTTCAATTGCTTGCAAATTGTTGTATGAACTGTTCCATCTTCTTCTTAAGTCTTGATTGTATTAAACTCTTGAATGCTTTATGACAGTGTCTTTATAATGTTAAGGAGCTGAGCCAAATACATAAAGTATGGATTTGGGCAGGAGAAAAGAAAGCATGCTGGAGTTGATACGACCATGAATGTACTCCATTTAAGAAATCTTCAAAAGGACTTTGTTTTTTTCATGTCAGAACACTAGTGATGTGTTTTTATTCAACATGTGAATCTAAGAGATAATTGCTTTGCCTCACATTCACCAAAAATATGCATATTTCTGTATTAATATTTCAAAATTAATTGAGGTCATACTATGCACCTGCATTAGCATTTAATTTCTTCACTTATAACGTCATAAACATTTTTGTATGCCAGTGTTCTTTGTGAACAAATATTTAAAATTATAAACAACAAGAAGAATAAAGAAGAACAGGCAAAGCACATAGTTAGTTGCTCCCAGGATTCAAAGATCTCCTTAGCAGCCAATGTACAGATCTATCTTAGAAAGAATGTACTAATTAAAAGACCTCCAGAGAAAGATAAGTGATCTGCACAGAATTTAAAAGCTTGCTTAAAATTCTCCAAGAAATGCCTGAATCCTTCAAGTTACTACTTTTAGCCCTCTTGGCAGAAATGAAGGCATTCGATAAAGACACTTATTTCTCTCAAGCAGACTATTGAAACCAAGTCTTCCATCTCCAAAAGTGAGACTGTCTTTAAGAATCTTATACTGCAAGCAGATAAAGACTCCATCCAGAAGGAGGCTTGTCTCTTGGAAAGAAATTTTAGGAAGTCTTAACAACTTGTCAGACTCCCTAATATGACGTGGCTGAAGCCTAGATAAGGATATCAATCAATAATAGGAATGACCAAACTTTAACCAGGACTGGTTAGATGTTCAGATCATTTGTATCTGTGGTCTTCTATTTAAACTTTGATTTCATTGAGGACCTCCTCCTACAAAAATGTACTTGGGCGTTCTCTGTATCACTTTGTCCCTCTTCTCAGTGTAGCTACATTGAATAAATTTCCTTCCTGCTAAAATAGACAGACAAACAATCAACACATTTAAAATTATGAATCCAGAGCAAGGGCTGCCTCTGTCATGAACTTGGTTGACTGCTCTTTGATCACCCCTGGTGATGCGGCCTTGCCAGGCCATGGAGGAAGAGGATCAGACAGTCCTGATAAGACATAACAAGGTATGGGCAGATGGCAATGGTGGAGAACTCCCCCTTTCAGTGGACTAGAGGAAGGGGATGGGAGAAATAGGAAGGGAGATTTGGACTGGGGAGTTGACGGAGGGGACTTCAATTGGGTTATAATGAATAAATTGTGAGGAAAAAAATTAAAATTAAAAAATTATCAATCCATGTGATATTCATAGTAGGACATTTTTTAAACTTTTAGGGATACAGTACAGGACCGAGCCTGAATTCCAGCCCTACTTTAGTACAGCAGCTGTGTCATTTGTGTATCCCCAGACAGGATTGAAATAATTCCTATTTCAAAATATAAAACATGTTCATAATTGTTTCAAATGTACTCATTTTTTATTACTGTTTCAACTCCAGTGTAGAAACTACATGCATGTTACCAACTCATTTTTGTTTTTAGATTTGCTTTTTATTTTATGTGCATTGATGTCTTGTCTGCATGCATGTCTATGTGATGTTGTCAGATCCCCTGGTACTGGAGTTACACACAATTATGTGCTGGGAATTGAACCTGGTCCTCTGGAGGAACAGCCAGTGCTCTTAAGCACTGAGCCATCTCCCCAGCTCCACCTCCCTCAAATTATTCTTTTTTTTAATGAGTTTTTCAATATCAGATTGGTAATTTATTTAACTCCTAGCACTGTGTGTAACAAGAAAAAATTATTAATCATTGTTGAAAATTCATGGCTGTCTTGCTTTATTTGTGCAATAAACCACATATTTATTTATCTATTTTTGAGAGCAAAGCTTCTAGTTGAGTGTCAGGTGTGAGAGTCCATTTGAAGATACTCAGATGAACAATGTACTTAATAATAAGGTCCAAATATTTATAAGAAAAGAAGAAGGCCAATGAACTGCTAGTTTCTAGAAGGGTCTATTAGGATCTTATCAGGATGTCACTTAGAGTAACTGAGTCCCCAGCTTCATAATAGGGATTCCGGAAGCCAAGCAAATGTCAGATACCCAGCCTACCAGATAACCTGGCCGGGTCTACTGGGTTAGACACAGAGAACACTTTGTGTTCATTACTATATCAATCTTTCTACAAATACTTTTATTACGGAAGTAAACGTTACAATTATAGTTGATAAACTTTCAGGTGGAAGGAGGAAGGAATTTACAGAAAAAGTACAGATGATGTTGCTTGTTTTCATTCTTTAAAAGAAGAAAGACAGTAGATGAGTGATTTGAAAGCAAAAAGTCTCACTTTTGATGACTGACAAATTTATCAAGAGAGAATGGTTAGGCAACCTATTCACAGAATCTTGTCTCCTCCCCCCCCCCCCACTGTGTGTGCACATGAATGCATGCATGTGGTGATGCATATATTTGCTCATGTGTGTGAATGTGTATACACATGGAGGCCAGGAGTCAAAGTCAGCTGCTTTTTCTAGACTTAGCCATGTTAACTTTTTGAATTTGGTGTTCACCAGTTAGCTAGGATGCATGGCCAATACATTTTTGAAATTCATCTGATTCTTTTTTTCTTTTACTGCTAAGGTTATAGATATGCATAATTGCACACAGCTTTTTCATGGGTGCTTGCTATCTACTTGGACCCTTAAGCTTGCAAAACAGTTTACTGACTGAGCCTTTTCTCCAAACTATATCTTTAGAATTTGGAAGAAATAATACATTTCCTTAGAAATGATTGTAATTCAGATCATAATCTTTTTCTGTGATTAAAGTAGAGCAATTCAGGAGGTACAATAAGGCCAAACTTTGTTAATAATTGTGACCAACATATACTAATATCAAAACATTTGCTTGTGAAGTATTAAAACAACCTTTGATTAATTAAGATTAGTGCATAAAACTACCTCAGTAGTTAATTATTTTCTCTTATTTTTGTCTTTTTAACTAATTAATTTATTCACTTTACATCCTGTTCATAACCTCCTCTTCCTCTCCTCCCAGTGCTACCCTTCCTTTTTCTTCCCCCATCTCTCCTCCTCTGTTCCTCAGAGAAAGAAGCCCTTCCCCCCACCAAACCACCCCAGCTCATAAAGTCACATCAGGATTGAGCACATCCTTTTCCCCTGTGGCCTGATGACGCAGCCCTGGAAGAGGTGAATGATCAAAAAAGCAGGTAATAGAGACAGATAGCTCCCATTCCCCTTACTAGGAAAAGCCTGAGCTGCCCATTGGCTACATCTGTGTTCATTTTTTAAGGATCCATTGAAAATAAAGCAACTGTTAATTTGTTGGGTTTGAAATCTCTGGTTCAGGGAACAGCTCTTTCCAGAGACACAGAAGGCCTTTTGCCTTCTTAGGCTGTCAGGGTGAATGAGGAGGCTTTGCATGTTTGCTTATTTTGTAGTATATAATGAGTCTTTTATATTTTTATATTTTCACTCCATTACCTTAGTGTACACATTCACCAGTGTTACTAAAATTTCATTTGATGTCAAATAAGAATTAAAACTGTGCCCCTGGAGGCATTGCACCATGTCTGCTGTGTCACGTGTGTTACTAGGTCGGAGATAGGAGAAAGGGTGTGTCTGTGCTCAGCGTTCTGACAGGTGAACATCTGAATGATTAGTAACCTGAGCTAGCCTGAGATGGCCACCAGTCCAGCACTATGAAGGTCTATGAGGATAGACCATACCTGAGATGACCATTGCAAGGTTATGCATGAGCAGGGCATAGCACTCCTGAGACCACTCCTGAGATGACCCCATGCACCACTAAGAGGAACAAGTAAGTGGTAGAGAAATGGACAAGAAAGAGAAACAAGAAAGAGAAGGATGTGTATACAATGAAGAGAAGCAGAACTAGAGACTGGAGTGAGTGAGGAACAGCCTGATGTGAGTAGCTGGTGATGCCACCTGGGATCATGGTAGGGTCCTGGGCTATGCTGTCACTGGGGCCCAAGTGTGGGTCCGTGGCCCTGCAGCAGCTGGTTTGTATTATGACCAAAGGCCAAGTAGATGTTCCTGGACTGGGCTGCCACCTGGGTATATGCTGATGGCTGAGGGCTGTGCAGAACTGGCCCTGTTTCTCACCTGGGCTCCAAGCCACACCGGAAGACATGAGCATGGGAGAGCCGACCCTACTTCCCGTCTTCAGTGCTGTGGTGTGGACAAGGGAAAGACGCCTTCTTCCCCTCCCTCCCTTTCCACCTATAGCGTGTGGAAGACCTGCCCCTGGGGTCATAAGAGCAGGAGAGCTGTCCCTGACCATCACCAGCTGCAGCGCTTGGGAGAGTGGCCTGTACCTTGCCTGGGCAGCATAGCAGAGCCGGCCCTGGATGTGGGTGTTGCAGGTCCCAAAAGCATGAGAATGGGAGTGGGTTGGCCCTGCCTCTTGCCTGCTGTTTGGTTTTGAGGGAAAGATCTCCCTCGGCTCCCTTTTGCCCTCACTACCTGAAGTGGGTAGGAGCCCTGGCCCTTGGGTCATGAGAATGGGAGAACTGGCCTTGTCCCTCACTGGCTGAAATACTTGGGGGAGCAGGCCCTGCACCTTGTCTGGGCAACACAGTGGAGTTGACACTGATTGCAGGAGTATACATTGTTGGCCTTCCTGCATGGGTGGGAAGGTGTCCAGGAAACCCACAACTCCAAAGCCTGGGAAGGTATCCCAGCTCTGAGGTAGGGCAGTGTCCCAAGGAAAGGGCATTCTGAGACATGGGAGCCCAGAAACCAAACAGTTCTGAGAGGAGGCTTCTTCAGCAGAGACATTGCACCTCTCAGGGGAGGGTATTCCTAGCTCAGCTGAGGTGCTCAGGACCCTCAGTCCTGCTCCTTCTTCAGCCTTTCCTGCAAAGCATACAAAGTTTACAAGTTATACAAAGTTAACCAAGGGAGTCTGGTATGCATGATGAGCCCTGTGTGAATTCTCCAGAGGGAGTTTCCTTTCTGGGGAACTTCTGGAGTTCAAACTTTTTTTTTTTCTTTTGGAAAAAGTAAAACAAAAAACAAAACAAAACCAAAAAAACTGCCTCTTCTCTGCTGGATGGTGACCCAGTCTGAGGAAATACACCCTCCTCCTTTCCCTCCTCCCTTGCCATTTATGGCAGGTGGAAAAGCTTAAGCCTCTCACCTGAGCTGTAGAGTAGAGCTGGCCCTTGTCGTGGGCATGCAGTTGAGCTGTCCTGAGGGCATGAGAGTGAGAGAGTGGCAGGCTGACAAGTTTAGATATCGCTCAGGAACAGATATAGGGCTTTGAATTGGCCTACTACATCATTTACCCCATTGATGAACTGCTGGCTCTCCATTGATAACCTGTAGGATCTCCATGACACAGGGCAACAACAGGATATCCAAGAGGAGTCACCATGAGTTTCCAGTTTTGATAGAGTAATAGAAGCCAGAGGCCTCGTACCAGAGCACAAGTCATAGCAACAAACATGTAGGAAGGAAAGAAGTGTGGACAAAAAGGTATACTGTGGGACACACTGACACACTACAGCTTCCGTAATGAGATTTTTTTTTTCTCTGTTAGGGGAGGTTGCAAGGTGGAGGATAGGAACGAGGTAGATAAGTGGGATTGGGGTGCAAGATATGAAATTCACAAAATACCAATAAAAAGGGAAAAATAAACATAAAAGTAATCAAAGCACAGCTAAAAGCAGAGTTGTTTGTATGAGGGGACTAACCACAATACATTCTTATCTCAAATGCATTTTTCTTCTACTTGGGACATATCTTTAAAAAAATTTTAACACTATCTTCTTCTTTTCCTCCTCTTCCTCTCCCTCCTCTCCATCATCATCATCATCATCATCATCATCATCATCATCATCATCATTGTTATTATTATTGACTATATGGGAGGACGAACATGCCGTGCTGTGGCTGTGAAGGTCAGAAAATAGCTTTGTGGAGTATGCTCTCTCCTTATTTTACATGGATTTCAGAAATGGGACTAGGGCGGTCCCTGCTCATTAAGCACATTATTTTTTCTTTTCTTTTTTTTTTTGTATTTTCTCTGTGTTTTATTTTTATTTTCTCTTAAAAGGAATTATAATTTAATGATAGATTCGGGCAAACATTCTATTTGCTTTTCTTTTTTTTTTTGTATTTTTTTTTAATTTTATTTTTCTTTTTAGTTACATTTTGTTAACTCTGTGTCCCAGCTGTATCCCGCTCCCTCATTCCCTCCCCAACCCCACACTCCCTCCCTGGTCTCCTCCTTGCCCCTTTCCAAGTCCCCTGATAGGGGAGGACCTCCTCCCCTTTCATCTGACCCTGTTTTATCAGGTATCTTCAGGGCTGGCTGCAAAGTCCTCCTCTGTGGCCTAACAGACTGCTCCTCCCCTTTGGGGGGGGTGTCAAACAGCCTGCCCTTGAGATCCTGTTAGAAATAGTCCGTGTTCCCCTTACTTTGGAAAACTACTTGGTTACTGAGCTACCACAGGCCACATCTGAGCAGAAGTTCTAGGTTATATCCATAGATGGTCCTTGGTTGAGTGTCAGTCTCAGAAAAGACCCTGGGCCCAGATATATTTGGTCCTTGCAGAGCTCCTATCCTTTCCATATCATACTAACTTCCCTTCTTTCATATGATTCCCTGTACTCTGCCGAGGGTTTGGTTATGAGTCTTAGTGTCTGCTTTGAAACACTGCTAGGTAGAGTCTTTCAGATGCCTTCTGTGGTAGACTCCTGTCATAAGTTCAATGCACATCCCATTTGTCTTTCTAAATGAGGATTAATCACCTTCGCCTGTGTCCACTTTCTTGATTATCTTCTTTAGGTGTGTAGATTTCATTATGTTTATCATGTCTTGTAGGTCTATATAAGCAAGTATATACCAAGTTTGTCTTTCTCCTTCTGGGATACTTCACTCAGAATGATCTTTTCTAGATCCCACCACTTGCCTGCAAATTTCATGATTTCCTCCTTTTTGATTGCTGAGTAGTTTTCCATTGTGTAAAAATACCACAATTTCTGTATCCATTCCTCCATTGATGGACATCTGGGTTGTTTCCAAGTTCTGGCTATTACAAATAAAGCTGCTACGAACATGGTTGAACAAATGTCCTTGTTGTGTACTTGAGCAAATTTTGGGTATATACCTAGGAGTGGTATAGCTGGGTCTTGAGGTAGCACTACTCCTAGTTGTCTGAGAAAGCGCCAGATAGACTTCCAGAGTGGTTGAACCAGTTTACATTCCCACCAGCAATGGAGGAGGGTTCCCTTTTCTCCACAACCTCTCCAGCATGTGCTATCACTTGAGTTTTTCATCTTGGCCATTCTGATGGGTGTAAGGTGAAATCTCAGGGTTCTTTTGATTTGCATTTCCCTAATGGCTAATGAGGTTGAGCATTTCTTTAAGTGTTTCTCTGCCATTCGACATTCCTCTTTCGAGAATTCTCTGTTTAGCTCTGTTCCCCATTTTTTAAGTGGATTACTTGGTTTGTTGCTTTTCTGCTTCTTTAGTTCTTTATATATACTTGATATTAGCCCTCTGTCAGATAAAGGGTTGGTGAAGATTCTTTCCAAATCTGTAGGCTGTCTATTTGTTTTGATGACTGTGTCTTTTGCTTTACAGAAGCTTTTCAGTTTCATGAGGTCCCATTTATTGATTGTTGCTCTTAGAGCCTGTGCTGTTGGTGTTCTGTTCAGGAAGTTGTCTCCTGTGCCAATGAGTTCTAGGCTGTTTCCCACTTTTTTTTCCAGCTGATTTAGAGTATGTGGTTTTATGTTGAGGTCCTTGATCCACTTGGACTTTAGTTTAGTGCAGGGTGATAAATATGGATCTATTTTCATTTTTCTGCATGTAGACATCCAGTTGGTCCAGCACCATTTGTTGAAGATGCTGTCTTTTTTCCATTGAATGGATTTGGCTTCTTTGTCAAATATTGAGTATTCATAGGTGTGTGGGTTTATTTCTGGGTCTTCTATGCGATTCCATTGATCCTCCTTTCTGTTTCTATGCCAATACCATGCAGTTTTTATTACTGTTGCCCTGTAGTACAGCTTGAGATCGGGAATGGAGATACCTCCAGATGATCTGTTGTTGTACAGGATCGTTTTGGAGATTCTGGGTTTTTTGTTTCTCCATATGAAGCTGAGAATCTTTTTTTCAAGGTCTGTAAAGAATTGAGTTGGTATTTTGATGGGAATTGCATTGAATCTGTAGATTGCTTTTGGCAGGATGGCCATTTTCACAATGTTAATCCTACCAATCCATGAGCACGGGAGATCTTTCCATCTTCTGAGATCTTCTTCAATTTCTTTCTTCAAAGACTTGAAGTTTTTCTCAAACAGGTCTTTCACTTGCTTGGTTAGAGTCACACAAAGGTACTTTATGTTATTAGTGGCTATTGTGAAGGGTGTTGTTTCCCTAATTTCTTTCTCAGCCTTTTTGTCTTTGGTATACAAGAGGGCTTCTGATTTTTTTGAGTTGATTTTGTATCCTGCCACTTTGCTGAAGGTGTTTCTCAGCTGAAGAAGTTCTCTGGTTGAATCTTTGGGTTTGCTCATGTATACTATCATATCATCTGCAAATAGTGACACTTTGACCTCTTCCTTTCCGATTTGTATCCCCTTGATCTCCTTTAGTTGTCTTATTGCTCTGGCTAGGACTTCAAGTACAATGTTAAAGAGATAT